ACTTATACAAGTGTTTTTTCAGCCTGGCGGGCACTGTTATATGCCTTATACTAATATTTTAATTTTGTATAGCAATTATCTTCATCATCGAATGATATGGATCCTTGGGTGTATCGTCATGACTCGAGAAAAAAGAGCCCTACACGGGACTCCTCTTTTGTTCAGACAGGCTCTACTGAAAGCGTATGGGAGATACGGCCAGGGTCCTGCATTCTTGGGACACATTCTCCCGTAACTAGAATACGAGTTAGTGAGGCTTCTGTCATTGCACAACCTGATGGACAGTTGGATCAGCTAAAAGAATCATCTGGTTCGTATTGATTGTTCATATGCGCATTATCACTATCTTATTGCAGTAGCGGCTTATCTCCGTTGACTAAGTACCTTAGTTTGTATGAATCGTTTATAATGATTTGGAAGCTCTTCCATACTTATTAGAGCTACATGCTTAGATGCAATCGCATCTGAGTAGGCATATTGTACATTAATATCACTATAAGTTGTTTGACCTTAATTTCGCAACTAGGTCATATTGCTAGGAGGACCTAGAGACAGACATCTAGTCCTGAGTCCATAATATGCATGATAATTTCCAGAGTTGGACCGTGGACGTGGTACATTTCCAGAAGCTTCGCCGGTATCGTATTCGGCATTGTCAGTGAGCCTTGCCATTCTTAGCACCACACAAACTCGTCAAAGAGACGAGTGAAGCCGATTCTTTGGCCAATTGTCTGCTAAACAATTGTAGTATTTCTTCTTCTGCCTTGGACCATTCACAAATCCTATATCCTCGTATCACCCCTTCACTATCACAATTTCTTATTAAATGTGGTATGATGTGCCCTTTTTTTAGCGGGCGTCATGAAAACTCCCTAAACCTCACTTTGGCTTTCTCACACCGCAATCCTCTTACCATAGGTTTTATCAGAGTCTGCCTCTTGCTCCGTAGGATCTGCCTCCTACCTTCCTGGTTCAGCCATTTCACTCGACCCCTGCCACCCTATCTGTACTACTCGGAGGGTTATTTCCCACACTTTAAAGCCTTTGTCGGCACGTATACGCCCGCCTCGCTGAGTAAGCATCTAAAAATCAAGATTCTCAACCTGGATGGGAGACTAATTTGAGATTGAAGAGCCTGAGTGATTCTTATGGTCAAGCCTTTGTTTTATGGACCACGTCTATGATAAAACATGTTTACTGGCAGCCAACTAGCTCTAGTCTTCACCACGTATATCCTGTTTCTATCCGTAATACCAAATCGATGACTTCCTATGTCATAGTCTCTTGTGTGCCAAACAGACAAATGTTTTGATTCTACTTTTTTT